TTCAAAAAAATGGAAGTAGACACCAACTAGATTATTTTTTAAAATTAATATGAGTAGTTTACTATGTGCTTTTGAGATATAATTTAAAGAGAATTTTAAGGATTTAGTAAACACTATTGCAACAAACTTTCATTTTCAGCTACGTTTAAAAAAATTCTTATTGCTATAGTTGCAATAAGATTGAGCTTTATCAGGAAATGTAAATGAAAACCACACTAAGATTCCACTTCAGTCCTGTTAGAATTGCTACCATCAAGAACAACACCAACAAAAAGTGTTGGAGAGGATGCAGCGGGGAAAAAGGAACCCTCATACACTGCTGGGGGGAATGTAATCTAGTATAACCACTATGGAAAACAATAAGGAAGTTCCTTGAAAACTAAAAATAGATCTGCTATAGGATTCAGCAGTATCACTCCTAGGGATATACCTGAAACAATGTTAGTCAAGTTACTACAAAGGCATCTGTACACCCATGTTTACTGCAGCATTATTCACAATAGGAAAGGTATAAACCTCCAACAAATGCAGCAATATTACGGGACATGGGTCATACTGAGGGAAGGCTTCACATGGGAGGGTTAAGGGCAAGGGAAAGAAACCAAACACTTGAATGTGCTTGATGTACTCACTGAACAGTAATGAATATGGAAATCTTAAACTAGCCAGGGCCACCATGAGGACTAGGGAAGAATGAAGAAGACTGGTAAGAGATCAACCAATGGGGTTGTAATACACATATGCATGGAAACAACACAAGGAATCTCTTTATCACAAACTAGCAAAAACACCATGCTTCTCTAATTTTGTTTTATTATTTTTTCATCTACAAAATCAGAGAATAGGAGGACAGAACAGGTTCTGCCTGGGGGATGAGTAGGGGGACTGGTGGGAGAAGGGAGGTGGTGAGGAAAAGAGTAGGAGGGTGAATGTGGTAAAAATAAAGAATACACATATATGTAAATGCAAAAATGATACCTGTTGAGACTCTTCCAGGAATTAGGGGTGGGGAGGATGAAAGAGAAGAGTGGAGGTGGTGAATTCCAGTATGATATATTTGATATATTGTAAGAATTTTTATAAATGCTACAATGTACCTCCACCCAGCACAATAATGATAATAAAAAAGAATAGAAATTAAAAAAGGAAATACAGACAAAAAGATTATTCTTTATCAACAAGTAAAATGTATCAATATGGTTATTTTAGCAATTGTATATTAATACTTTTATCAAACTCAAGGGAAATTGATTTTATAAGAAAACAAAATTTAAAATTAAATTTATGAGCATGTGGGTGTATGTACTTATCACACAGAGCTATGATCATATGATCATATAATAATATTGAGAAAAAATAATACTGAGGACAAAATTCTGGAGAGAAGTGAATAGAAATTAAATAGTAACACAGAACAAAAAAATTTTCCAACTCTTCAAAAGGAGCTTGTTTTAAATTTTAAGCAGTTGATACATTGTACAAATGGTTTTTGGGGAGTACCATGAAGCAGGGAAGGGGCTAGGAGGGTGAATATGGTGCAAAAAATGTGTACACATGTATGTAAATGCAAAATGATGCCTCTTGAAACTATTCCAAGAAGAGGAGAAAGGGGATGAAAGAGAGCAGTGTAGGGAGTGAATTCAAGGATGATACATTTGATACATTGTTATAAGAACTTTTCTAAATGCCACACTGTACCCCCTCCCAGCACAACAATAAAAAATAAAATGCCAATATTGAAAATATGCAAAGATATGTGCTATAGTTTGGAGCTGAACTGTCCTCCTGAGGCCCATGTGTTAAAGGCTTGGTCCCAGGCTGTGGCACTACTGGAAGGTGGTGAAACATTTAGGAGGTAGGGCCTCCTTGGAGGAAGTCAGATCTTTGGGAGCACGAATTTGAAAAGAATGTTTGGATCCTGGCCCCTCACTGTCTCCCTCTTTGCTTCTTGGCCACAAAACAAGGTGAGCAGCTTCCCGCAGCACGGACTCCCAGTCATGATGTTCTGCCTTGGCTCAGGACCAAAGCAACAGAGCCAAGCAATCATGGGCAAAAGTCTCTAAAACTATGAGCCAAAATAAAACTTTACTCCTTTAAAATTGTTTATCTTGGGTATTTGTCACAATGACAAAAAACTAACACATAGCATATCTAGTAACTGAACTTGTATGGCAGACATAGCTAGTGCATCACCAACAATTCATAATCTCATTCCAAAAGGTGGGCTTGAGTTGGGAAGTGGCCTCATAGGCAAGAGTTACATTTCACAATCCTTCACTCCCACCTTGCATCTAGATGGGATCATTTGAGTTGCCCTCCAAATGACTCCAGAACAGTAGGAAGTCGTTGAGAAGCAGGTGCCTTGTCCACCCTGAGTAGATCTGAGACTGAATGACAGTGGAGATTTAAGAATGAGTATTCTGTACCCTTGAATCATTAACCTTGAATATACTGCATTCTTTCTTCAGTTGGGAAGGATACATTTCTATTTTTTAAGGCTCTGCAATTTGGGGTTCTATCTCCCACATCACATAGTCCCATTTTATCCATGGTTTTGCTTTCCATGGTTTCCGTTATTCATGGTCAACAATGGTCTGCAAATATTAAATGGAAAATTCCAGAAATATTTAAATTTTAGGTTGTGTGCCATGCTGAGTAGCATGACAAAACCTTGCACCTTCCCACTCTGTCTTGCCTGGGTCAGAAATCATCCTTTTGGGGCTGGTGGAGTGGCTCAACTGTTAGAGCGCCTACCTAGGAACTCTGAGGCCCTGAGTTCAAACCCCAGTGCCGCAAAAAAAAAGAAAAAAATCATCCTTTTGTCCAGCGTATCACACTGTATGTGCTACCCACACATTATTCACTTGGCAAGCTTTGGTTAACAGATTGACAGTCATGGTATCTCAGTGCATGTGTTCAAATAACCCTTATTTTATATGAAGTGATTTTTACATGAGAAAATTAATTTTGTTGGGCAATTTATGTCATTATCAACTCTTTTAATATTTTAAGTGTTCACATATTTCTAGATTTGCTGTTCTGAGAGTTTCAATTCCATATATTAAGGAAAATACATTTGGAAAGATACACATTATTTATATTAGGATTTCCACTAAAAAATACAATTAAGTAAACCAAGGAATTTTCTTTCTCCACATTCAATTTTAATCTCTCTGTCCATCCCTCTGTCTCTCCCCCCCTTCTTCCTTCATTCCTTTCTTGTTTTTCTTTTCTTGGAGTGCTGGTGATCCAACCCAGGGCCTTGCACACGCTAGGAAAGCTCTCTACCACTAAGCTACATTCTCAGCACTCAGTTTAATTATTTTTCTCAAACAGTACATGGATGTCTCATATGACATTATAAAATGTATTTAAAGCTCTGTATAGAATTTTTACTGTAAAGCAAGTTTAATGTATGTAACAAGTTTTTAAGTTTTATTCTGTATTTGATTTCAAATGTCTATACTGTTTATTGATTTGAAAAAAAAAAGTTAATTTAAAGCATGAAGTACATTGATTGCTGCCAGTACAAAAATTGTTCATACATAAAAAGCTTAAGCTGTAACTTTATATTACAGTGAAGAAATAGGTAAGATAAATAATATTGCATATACCTCTATCATTTGGTGAATGGTCACAGTCAAAATATGCAAAAAATTTGTGCTCAAACTGAAATTTATCGTTACCAAATGGTCCTTAATGATCATTTCTTGGTTTATACCAAATATATTTGGACAAACTCCAGTCATTCATATTCACATTACTCCTTAAAAATGAAGGCAATATTTATTTATGACAGAATTGAAACACAGTAAGATTTGAAAACACTTCTTTTATGTCTTCCAAATCCTTATCAATCTCACATGGATGGATTTTGCTCCAAGCTGGGATGTCTGGATTTCTTATATAAGGAATCACTCATACAAGTTTTGAGGACATGCTTGGTTTAGAAATCTTGTACTTTCACTGTTAATATCTTTAATAGTTGCAAAGAGTGTTACCAAACCAAGACATTTAGTGATGCTATCTTACAATACTTAACAGAAACAAGGGAAAAGAGCACAGGTGTTGTTACCTCTGTGTTTTTATGAATTTTAGTAGATGTATAAAAACATTTTCAGTTGTGGCTATGGCAAATTAGTTTAATCTCAATAGCTACACACAAAAGATTAGAACAGAGAGTTTTAGTGAAAAGTAGGTTCTTTTGAAATTAGTATAAATCCACAAAGAAGTAATAAGGAAAAACATACGTTTGCATTATTTTTAATAAGAATATACTATATATATATAAATTTAAGATCATTAATAGTCTTCTTTGTTATAACTGTTAAAACTTCAATTCCTGAGAATTTTTGCAGTATTAAAGTACTTAAAATAAGAAGCAAAAAGGAAGGAATTGTATTTTCCTTGATCTGAGGTTAAACTCTCTCAGTTATTTTTGTCATTTCCATACATCATTTGGAATATAGTCACACTAAATTCTTCTTTAGCTACTGGCCCCAAAATATGCGACATCTTTAAAGACCCAAATGAATGTTCACATTAAAGATGGTATACAATTAAAACTAGTATTATTAAATATTTGGCATTGCTTAGTAGCTTTCCTCTTTTGAAGTGCAAACATAGATTCAAAGTGAGTTTTGAATATATTTAGATTTAAATAATTCAACTATCTCCTTTAAAATTATTTTCTGGAAAACATTTTCCAGAAAGAAAAATGCAAATACATTTTCTGAAAGGCAGAATATTGTTTGAATGTTGAATATCCTTTGTTTTAATCATCATGTAGACTATAAAGGTCACAGCCTAGCTTTGGTTTGCATTGCATTTCTGATAGCTTACCTTGAATCTTTATTCATAGGCTTCAGTAATCATTTAGAAACATGAACTTCAATTGCATGAAAAGAAAGCTTCAGATTGTAAGATTTTACTTAGAAAGCTAATTTACAATAAATATATCTACTCAGTGGCAGTCATTTGTGCTTATGCTCAGTTATGACTGCATGAGATGGAGGTGGGTCATACTCTTGAAAATGAATTCCTTTAGAAGTCGTGATCTTCATAATAGCACCATTTAAGCCATCATCTTCAATGAGAGTTATTAATCCATTGGCAATCATTGATGGGCTAAAAAAAAGAAAATATTTGTATTTGAAACTGAAAACCAAGGCTTTTATCACTTTAAGTTATTCTTGAAGAACCTACAGCCTTGAATGTGTCATAGGGGAATTTTGTCATCAAAGTATTGTTACCTCCTATTGTTTTCAATTAGAAAGTAACTAAATAATATGATGAAGTTAGTGTAGATCTACATGCCTAACTTTTTGTCATAGTCAAAAAGTTATAGTCAGTATTTACATTGAGAAAAAAGTCAAATCCTTATCTGTATGAGGTCGCTAGATCTTACATTACCCAGACAGAAATGTTATTAGAAGAGAAATAGGATGAATTAAAAGCAGGATTTGTTGGACTAGTGATGGAGCTAGTGGCTGAGCACTAGTCTAGTAAGGGCAAGGACCTGGGTTTGATCCTAGTACAAAAAAAGTCAGCATTTATTAAACATCTTATTTTTTTACCAGTTGCTATTTTAAATACAGTTTTATGTACCATCTTACTCAAATCTTCTGATGTCCATAAATAAGTTTTAGTATTTTCCTTATTTTTCATGTGAGAACATTGAGTTTTGATGGGTAAATTTATGGTTGGTGTTGGAGCTAGGATTCAATTCTAGGTCTGATTGCTTCAACTTGATAGCTATGACTCTGTGCTATGAAAACCTCCATTGCCTCAACTCAGGAACAGTTCTGTGTGTGTGTGTGTGTGTGTGTGTGTGTGTGTGTGAGTGTGAGTGTGTATGTGTGTTCATGATCAACTGTTTTGCTGAAAATGGCTGAAGTTATGAAACCATACAAAATTTCTCAATGGTTATATTTGAACATTGCTTGGAATTTAGGAAGACAAGGTAAAATTTCCATCAAAGGTGACTTATCACCTTAAAAAAAATGAAATTTAATCATGTCTGAAGGCACTATCTGTATTTCAAAACAAAGGTTATAATATATAAACACACTTTTTACAGTCCCACCAGTATTTTCTTTGCATTATTTTATCAAATTTAAAAACTGATTTCTCCTTATATTGCTTGTGAAGATAATATTTTAGTCTATTATACAAAGTAAGACCAAGTTTTACTTACTCCAGAATTCCAAAGTATTTCATCATATCCTTGATATGATCTGTATATTCTAAATATTGCCCCATGTTTTCTTCTTTATCAATGGATTTGAGAATGGGTGTGTTCACAAAGCCCGGACAAATTGCATTCAATCTCACACCACTATTCATAAGATTAGCAGCCATCTGCCAATTAAAAACAGGAGGGTACAGGGTTCAACAGTTTCCTAAATGTATACCATTGGACAAACTGAAATTAAAGTTATTTCAAAAATAAATGTAAAACATACCAGTCTGACATCCTCTCAAGTATGTAACAATGACTGACAAGCAAAATACAGCATTAATTCCTGAAAGTCTCATCTAATTAATTTTTGAAAACCACTATTACTGGCCAACTACTGAAAATACTTACTTGCCTAGGCTGTTCTTTTCTACTGAACTCTGCAAGAACTGAAGCTAAGAAGTTGGAGTTGATATTCCAAGATTGTGATTATATAACAGAAAATATTTTCTTAAAACCATTTAGTAGAAAATTTAAGAACTTAATTGATTCTTAAAGAACTCTTAATAATCTTTATTGGCTGCAAGATATTTTAGGTATTTTAAGACTAACATTCATTAGCTTAATATTCAGCCTACTGATTTTATTTTTACTATTTATAAAACAAAAAGGGTTGATTCTCATTATAGATGCAGATTCAATATCTGAAAATACACTTCTTTGCTACAGTTGGTTCATATTCCCAAAAGTCAATGCTTGTGGAACTTTTCTGGTTACTTATGGACTTACACAGAGCAAATCTGAGTCATGAGTGGGCATCTTCCTATGAAGTCTGCCTTGCCATGTTTTTACATGTTTGTGCTTTTTGTTTTTGTTTTTTTTTTTTTTTGCTGTTTAAAATGCCCCCAAGCACACTGAGGAAGTTTTGTGTAGTGGTCCAGTGTGAGAAGATGTGCTATAGAGAAAATTTGTGTATTTAGATAAATAAGTTGTCACTGCTGTTAGAGATGAGCTCAATGTTCATTTACGATATTCTAAAAAGTTATCTTTAAGTCAAAAGTCACATAAAACAAGTCGCTCATCAAAAGGTTGTGACCTCAGGTTCTCAGGAACTTAATCAGGTGTTTCTCCTAAAAGCAATTTTCCAACGGTAGGTAACAATTCAGTGTTTGCAAGAGTCTTACTAGAACAAAACTGTGAACAATGAGAACTGACTACAGAATTGTCCAATTGTGTATTTTTAATGCAAATATTCTAATCGTTAATATTCACTTTGCTCTGTAATAGCTTCATGTACATGTTCATAGAAAATGGAATTGAAGTCTGAAAATTAAATAGCTATTTTCTAACAATTTAATTTAAGAGTCTGGGGACTGCTTATCTTCTTTACGATTGAAGAAGAATCAACATTGACACATCTGCTTTCTCTGTCTCCTAGTATTGCCTCTGTCTTTTATGCCAAACTAGTCATCTACCATGCTCCCCTTTGTCTCACTTAACATATAATTCCCACAGACCCCTAACTGTTCTGTGCTCTTTTACACTTGTCTTTTGTATTCCATTTTCCAAATAGCAGGCAGATGGCTTTCTTAAAATGGAAATCTGATCTTGTCACTCTTATGCATTAAAGATTCATCAATAGCTAAAATCCAGGCTCACAACCTTGGCTCAAAAGTCTCTCTTGATCTGGCCCCTATTTATATTTCTCTGATCATATCTCATCCTATTATCTCCTTGCTTGTCAGGCTCCATACAAGCTGCCCCTTTGTCAGTTAAAAGAACACAAACATATTTGCTGTGTGATATCCATATCTGTGGTCAATTAGGTCTAAATTATTTTTCTAGGCTCTATATACCCTTTGCTCTAGGTCTCCATGGAAACACTGTCCTTGGTATTCTATCAGGCAAATACCTGGTCCCACCTCAGGCTCCCAATCGTTTTCATGATATCTCAGGTGACAAATAACGTCTCTGGCCTATAGCATGTTGGACCTAAGAAGGCCTAAAGGAATAATGTTTAAGTTTGGAGTCAACTTTAAAAACAAATAGCATTTCCTCATTATTTATCCTTAAGATTTTATTTATATATACACACACATACTGGCATTACTGGGGTTTGAACTCTGGGTCTCACATTTGCTAGGAAGGAGCAGTACTATTTGAGTCACTCCACCAGCCCCTTTTTTGTGGGCTACTTGCCTGGGCTGGCCTCGAACTGTGATCCTCCTGATTGCTGCTTCCTGGGTAGCTAGGATTACAGGTGTGAGTGACCAGCACCTAGCTACTTAAGATATTTTAAATAGCACATCTATGCTTACGTTGTATTTCATTTTAAAGGATATTTTTATTATTTAGTCCTTTATGTGATCTGAAATTTTTGTATTCTAAAGATTAAAGCAAAATGTCTGCTTTTATCTAGATATATTGACTTCTGAAGTAATTTTCTTCTACATTATAAAATGTGTGTTTCATGGATACATATACAAGGAGAAAAAGAGATATTGTGCTTATTTTGTCTTTACCGCTGCTGAACGCGTGAATCCAATTACGCCATGCTTTGAAGCACAATAAACAGGCTGTTGTGCAGCAGGCAGAAGTCCTAAAATAAACAAAAATTGTAAATAATTTGATTTTAAAAAGTAGACTATACAATAGTTGCTATACAAATAAACATTCTATGAGCATGACTTTGGAAGATATACTAAAATAAAGTCAGACAGCTCTGTAAAACTCAAATAGCCTTGATGAAGCTCATTCTCCCCATGGGTATGTGGTCTAGAATATGTGGCCGGTAAGTCATATCCATGGTATAGTCAAGAGTGAGATCAGTGCTTTTCTGCCTCCCTTCATTTCCAGAAGCAAAGTCAAAGGAAATCAACGCTATATTAAAACAGACAGAACTACCATCTCATTTCTAGTTTTTCAGTCCAGATTTTAAAAGGCATACATTCAACATTTGTAAAGACTTTCCAAAGGCTGAGGATTCTGAATCACATAAGAGGGACTTGGAGATTATTATCTTTGCTATAAATTAGAACGCAGTTCTGTGTCACCAATTTGTCTCGCATGTTGCCTCTAAGAGTTTCAGAAAACTAAAAATTAATTTCTTTTGAGTTAGTGCTGTAGCAGATGCATAGGTCTTCTTCCCCGTTGACTTAGAAGACATAAATAGAAATTTATGCTCCTATTTTGTTTCCGTTCATAACTACGTAGTCAACAACAGAATTTAACCACTTATACAAAGTTTTAATTGTTAATTTTCTACATATACACAATAAGAACTGATCAAACTCATGATCTGGTGAAAAAAAAATCAGTATTGTAGCATCCAGGACTTATTTTCTTTCCTAACTCACAGTCTACGCCAAACTTCCTTTTGGACAAAAAAACAGCAATAAGAAAACTTATTTGACTCTAGGAACTATTACTATAAAGCTTATTTCTCACAATTGTTAAGATCAATTTTCAAATTTATCTGGAGTCATTTTTATATTTCAGTTTTTAACTAATAAATTAATTGGGTTTAACACTTGTTTTTTAATTTTTAATGTTTCTGTGTTAAGAAACCATGATTCCTGATTGCTATGATATTAGTATCAACTGTTACGCTAACAATACTAAATTATTTTTTAAGATGTGCTCATCTCCGCCCAGTTAACTACTTCCAGAACACCAAGGTTGACTCAACTTTGTTGTGTCAAAGATCAGCAATAAATGCAGCAATAAGTGACTTTGGCCACTCCCTGGGTACCTTCCCGGTCTCAATTTATAAAGGATGTTTTCTCAAGAGCAATTGAAATCCCTGACGATGGTACATCACAGGTAGTGCAACTACTCAGTAATTTCAAAGTACTCTAACATGTCGGTTCTCTTGCTATTGTTTTGGTTAAGTAAAATGTGTAAGTTAATTAAGTTCATCAGTGTAGTCAGCAAGAATTTATGTTGTTTCCACAGGGTACACAGGTGTATTTGGAGCAAGAGATAAAGGGAACAGGCATAGCCAGCCATCGGTGCTTCTAGTTCATACAAATTAGGCTTTGCTTTACCAATTCCTGAAATGTTTACTTTTTTATTGTTGTGCTGGGTAGAGGTACATTGTGGGATTTACAAAGGCTCTTACAATGTATCAAATTATGATACAAAGGTAGTGGTTGTAGGCTAGTGCTTACATACTGCAGGAAATACAATGTGATCCTTAAATTCTGATAAGCCAGTTGACACAGCCACAAAAAGCACAAAGGACTTTGTTCATAAATGTCATCAAAGTTGAGTTTTGAATGAAGTTTTGTTACATATGCAGAGGTTATGAACTTCTGACCCAAGCTAGTCCAAGGTGTCACAGAGCTGAAATAGATCAAATACTTTTTGGGGGTACTGGCCATAAGGAAACAAGATGTGTAACACTTTTAGTTTTAAAGTAATTATAAAGGCAACAAGAGTATGAAAGAACTTCTTTGTATTTTTATGCACCTTTTTTTGATTATATTTTTTGATTATGTGGCCTAGATTGGCTGCCAACTCATGATCCTCCTTCTTCAGCCTCCCAAGTGCTGGGATTATAGGCATGTACCATCATGCCTAGTAGAATTTGTTTGCATTTTAAAAATGGCACTCTGTTGAATGAGTCTTACTGTAACAATCAGATGACATTTTCACTGCTGTCTTACAATGTGTAAGTTAATTAAGTTAATCAGCGTTAGCATCAATTTATGATGTGAAAAGAACATCATAAAGCATTGCTTTCACTTTTGAATATTAGGTCAAAATCTACACAAGTCAATTTCAGACATTCAGAAACTACATTTTTGTTTTTCATAGCCTTATGGAGGTATAGTTGACCATCACACAATAAAACTACATGTGCTTAAGGCATACAGTTTGACGAGTTTTGACACATGTACATTAATGTGATCATCACCACCATCAAGATAACAAATATCTATCACCCTAATACTTTTCTTGTATCTCTTGGTAATTTCTCCCTTTTACTTTCTCTCCCCCTGGAAAACACATATTTGCTTTGTGCTACTATGGCTTGCATTTTCTGGAAGTTTATATAAATATCTGGTTCTTTCATACATAACTATTTTGAAATTCAAACATATTGCATTGTATATCAGTATCTTATTATTATATTTAGATATTTAAAATTTTTATTTTATCATTTTTACAGTTACTTACATGTGTATAAGGTATTTGGCCAGCTCTCCCCACCCCCTCACTTCTAGATAGAACCTGTTCTGCCTTCTTGTTCTTTGATTTTGTTGAAGAAAAAGCAGCGTCTTTGCTATTTGAGATAAGATAGCTATACAGAGAGACTCCTTGTGTTGCTTCCATGCATATGTGTATTTCAACCCATATTGGTTCATCTCTACCAGACCTCTTCACTACTTCCTGGTCCTCTTCCTACAGTGGTCTCTGCCAGTTTAAGATTGCTGTATTTGCTCCTATACAATTAGCATATCAATCACATTCAAGTTTTTGCTTTCATTCTCTTTCCCTATCCCTCCCAAGAGCAGTCTCCTTTTAGTGTGTGACTCATGTCCAATAATATTACTGCATTTGTTTTAGGTCTATAATTCACATATGAGGGAGAACATGTGATTTTTGGCCTTCTGATCCTAGCTTCACTTAAGATGATGTTCTCCAGTTCTATCCACATACCTGCAAATAACAAAATTTCATTCTTCTTTGTGGCTTAATAAAATTCCATTGTGTATAAATACCACATTTTCTTAATCCATTCATCAGTAGTGGGGCATTTTGGCTGTTTCCATAGCTTGGCTATTGCAAATAGTGCTATAATAAACATGGGTGTGCAGGTGCCTTTGTAATAACCTGAGTTGCATTCCTTTTGGTATATCCCTAGTAGGGGTAATGCTAGATCAAATGGCAGATCTATGTTTACTTTTTTAAAAAGCCTCCATATTGTTTTTCATAGTGGTTGTTCTAGCATACATTCCCATCAGCAGTATATGTGGATTCCTTTTCCCTGCATCCTCACCAACATTTGTTGTGGTGGTGTTCTTGATGGTAGCAATTCTAACAAGAGTGAGGTGGAATCTTAGTGTGGTTTTGATTTGCATTCCTTTATGGCCAGGGATGGTGAGCATTTCTTCATGTGTTTTTGTGCCATTTGGACTTCCTCTTTGAACAAGTTCTGTTTAGTTCAGTTGCCCATTGAACTAAATTATTATCGCTAAAAAGTTTCCTCTAAAATATATGTCATCAGTTGCATGTACTTGTACATTCACTTGTTGAGAGACATTTGTGTTGTTTCCAGTTTGGGAGTACTAAAAATAAACAGGATTCTATGTTTCAATTGCAGCATTTAGACATGCATACATTATTCAGAAATTTAAACTCTAGTTCTCCAGCTTGAGTCTCTCATTTTGCCTTTAGTTCCTGGGAGATTTGGGGCTATTTATTGTTACATCTCCCAATGCTTTTCTCTTCTTACAACAAATGTATGATGGGTTAGAAGTTGACTCTAGTGATAGAGCTCTTGCCTGGGTTCAGTTCCCAGCATTATAAAAAAACCAAATAAACAAACAACACAAAATATATGTATGCCAATTCAAAAAGTGTGAGTAGAGTGAATTCATTTTGGAAATATGTGTTAAGTACACATGATAGTATGTTTTAAATATAGTAAATTGAAACGTGTGACTAATGGATGGACTACCATTTTATCAAAATTTCACTTACACTATTTGACCATCTCAAAATGTGCTTTTATCAAGAAAATAAGAATACAAACAACAGACTGGGAGAAAATGTTTGTAAAATACATTTTTATAAGGGACTATTACCAAAATATACAAAACTTAAAACTGAACAGAAAGGAGATGAACAACCCTACTAAAAAATAGGTAAAAGCCACTAAAAGATGATGCTATACAGATGGCAAACAAGTATATGAAAATGTGCTCAATACTATATGCCATTACAGAAACTTGAATTAAAATTACAATGAGATACCCTTACACACTAATTAAAATGGCTAAAATCCAGACACTGATAACCCCAGATGCTGGTGAAGATGCAGAGCAACAAGAATTCTCATTCATTGCTGGTGGGAATATATAATGGTCCCGGCATTATGAAGAAAGTCTGGCAGCTTTCTTAAAAACATATTCCTACAATATAACCTAACCATTGTGTTCCCTGACATTTGTTCAAAGGAACTGAACTCCTACGTCCACACAAATACCTACACCATGGATGTTTGTTGTAATTATCAAAGCAGAGAGGCAAGCAAGATGTCTTTCATTGGATGAATGAATAAATAAACTGTGTCATATTCAGACAGTGTAATACTATTAGCACTAAAAAGAAATGAGGTATCAAACCATGAAAAGATATGAAGAAATCTTAAATGCATATTACTATGCAAAACAACTCAATCTGAAAAGGCAATATATTATGTGATTGAAACCATATGACATTTTGGAAAAGGCTAAATATGGAGATAGTAAAAAACAAAAATCAGTGGTTGCTAGAGGCTGGCAGGGGTGAGGAGTAAATAAGCAGAGCACAGAGGATTTTTAGGGTAGTGAATTTTTTCTGTATAATCGAACAATGGTAGATAAAAGTCAT